GGACCTGTAATATCCTCTGCCTCATTCTTCATCTTGGTAATGACTCACACAGGCTCTGACACATTAAGTGAGGGACAGGAAATGGCTAAATGAACGCCATAAGCTAGTACAATTTTTTTTTTGAAAAAAAAAAGTTGTCTTTGGGCTAAACTGTACTTAATCTCTAACGAGTAGGGTGGATCTTCTTCCTAAAGACATTTACTTCTTCCTTTTCTTACTTGGAGCCAGTTGAAGTCCTGAGCCAGTAGCTAGACTTCATTGGAAGACTGATAACCCCCATGCCCAGTAATCCCTTAAGATTGTTTTCTCACTGACTTGTGTTCCAAAGGCAGAGTACAGGGTCCATGCAGCTATAGGGATAACTCAGGTCATAAACCTACATTTGCTAAAAGATTTATTCCAGTACAAATGGAAAAACAGCTGTTCACTCTTAGATAACATTTTTCTAGGCATGGTTGAACTCCTTGCCTAATTGATTAGGGAGGTCATTATGTTAGCTCCAGGTAATTAACATTTCCTTGCTATTAGAGATATCTCAGCTCGTGCCATCATTTCACCCTTCAGCTTCCTTCTGTAAGAGCTACAAGTTAACTTTACTCTGCTTCAGGCTCTTCAGCGCTCTCCATGTTATTAAGTGACAGAACCGTGCTGGAGAATGTCAGCATTAATTGCAGTAAAGCAATCCTATCCGTGCACACAAACAAACAGAAACACCTCGAGGATTCCTCCGTGATACAATAGTCCTTGAAGTCGATGACCTATTAAAGTTACATCCAGCTCTGCTGATTAATTTTGTTCATATTTTCACATCCTATAGCTGGTAATATTTCCATAAGAGGAAATCAATAAGAATCTGTTCTTATCTCTCACGCAGCACCTGCGAGGCCCATGAATGGTTGTGTGTGCATCATGTTGATACCTGTGAGAGCAAACTCACTCACTATATACCAATGATGACGTGACGTAATCCGAGAAGGCACCTATCAAGGACATTTATTAGAGTTCTGGGAGGTATATAGAATGTATTATATAGCCAAGTTTCTTGTGCAAGGGATCTCAGTGCTAATATAGAAGACAAAACAGATTACATAGTGATGGAAAATGCTCATGAAATGTGAGATTCTGTTTTTGATTGTCAGTCTTTACAAAATCAGAAACTGAAACCCTGTACAACCAAACTATTGCAAATGCAATCGATAGCAGAGGCCCAATGAGAATTTGACATAAAAAAGCAAATCACTCAGCCTTCGTCTGCTGATGACACAAGTAACAGCAGTGCATGGTAACAAGGCTGTCCTAGTGTCTGGTTCCATAAACTGGAGCTACAACACTAAGTAAAGACAGAAGATATCAACTATGTGATTTTCCCCACGCTGCGTTTTAGTATCAATCAGAGTAAGATGTAAAGGTTTTTAAATAAGGAAAATCTTGTTGGTTGATAGACACAGCTGAATCGGATTGTCTATGAAGTACCAATAATAATAAATACTTGATCAGTAGTTACCAGCACGTAGCAGAGAAGTTTTTCCCGGTATTTTTCTCCATCATTTATTTAGAGTCCCACCCTTTGGCAACTAAAATTAAAAATGTTAAAAATTAAATAACAAACAAAGCAAAACAAGCCTGAAACACACACACACACACACACACACACACACACATGATTTTTTTTCCAGATAATAAGTTTCTACACTGATGCATCAAGCTAGATCAAGCCAAATTATAAGTATAGCAACAGGGTTATGACTGAGAAAAGAACAACTCCCAGGTGGGTTCCCTGGTCTCAGAGAACAAGGCCAGAGAAGTTGCACCCCAAGCTTGGGACGGGAAGTTTTAGAGACATTAGGTGAGGGGTGATGATTGTCCAGGCCAGAGCTGAGACTGTGACCAAGTATGATCAAAAGCTAAATCCCTGGGCGAGCACTTGAGTATCATTCCTTTGCTCAGCATTGGGGAAAGTATGGCAGAAGGGGTTATCCAGCTTGTGCAGAGATGAGCCGGAAGCTCTAACCAAACAACCCCTACTCTGGGAAATAAGGAAACACAGTCACTATTTGTCACTATTTATAAAATCTGTATGTGCCAGCCCTTCATGAATCATTGTTCCTGGAGATGTTGCTATGCTTCAGTTGTTAAGCTGTGGCTTCTAGTGGGCATTTTGCTTTGCAAAATATTTTGATTTTACATACTTCCTGAAGGAAATATGACTTTTCCTGTTAGAATTATTAGTCAGATTCATAGTCATGTCCTCCATAGATGAAAGTATTTGAATATTTGGTTATTATTGATGATACTATTTGGAAAGTGTAGGAGATGCAGATTAGAAGAGTTTCACTAGGAGTGGACTTTGAGATTTAAAGCTTCCTGCCACTTCCAGTTTACTCTGTCTGATTCATGCTGGTGGCTGGAGATGCGAGCTCTCCATTATGTCCGTTCCTGCTACCACGCCTGCCCCGCTGCTGCCCTGATAGGATGGACTCTTATCCCTCTTGAACTGTAAATCTAAGTAAACCATTCCTTTTATAAATTGCTGTGGTCATGGTGTTTCCTCAAAGCAACAGAGAAGGGAATGATACACAATATGTGTGAAGTATCCATTGGCTGCCAATTCAGGAATGAAATCCATCCTGCTTGCTTTGCAAATGCTCCTATGACTTCAAAATCTTAATTCCCATGCCTTAAAAATTGGTTTGGTGCTTTTTTTTAAATTTATTTATTTATTTATTAAAGATTTCTGTCTCTTCCCCACCGCCGCCTCCCCTTTCCCTCCCCCTCCCCCAATCAAGTCCCCCTCCCTCGTCAGCCCAAAGAGCAATCAGGGTTC